AAGGTCTTCAACTCGCCGCAAGTCACGGCATCCACTCCCACCGACCCAGCTGCCAACGCCAGCGCCAAGCCGGTGGCAAGGCTTGGCCGTGTTGAAGCCAAGGGCAAAAGCAGAGCCATCCAAGCTCCGCTTCGGACGCCGTGACTGGTTTGCTGCTCATCAACCTCGCACAGGTCCACCTCTGGATCATCTGGACACATGGCCGCAACCGAACCGACCAAACAAGCACACACGGCAAGTCGGGACCACATGGCGACAGGCCAATCCAGGAGTTCGTGCAAGGCCCCAGCTCTGCTTGACTCACAAAATGCTGCGGTGACCAGATCGCAAAGCTGCAAATGTGGAACACAGGGAGTCTCTTCTGTGACTAGCGTGCGCTTCCGAAGGCACGGAACTGATGGCTCAAAGGTAGCGTGTTCAAGGATCTGATGAACATACAGTGTTCGGCGTCTGCAGTCTCGAGAAGCCTGTCACTTTGCTATCATCTCCGTGCTGATTGTTGGTCTTCGCGCCCGCAAATCTATGGCACACTGTTGCATGGCGGGCATCGGTTGGCTTCGGAATGTTCGCTCCTCGTTCGCTCCATAATTGGTGGATGGCTGCACATGCAACCATCACATGTTGGGTTAGTATGGCGTGGCTGTGCCGAGCTGCTAACCCACCCACGCCCCTCCCTGTACTCCTGAGAGCTGTACAAGAGCTGCCACCAGTAGGCCCATAGGATATCCTCGGCTTTGCACCGGGGCTGGTCTGATGATCAAGTTAAACGTTTTGCTAAAACAGGATCTTGGGGCGTACGATTTAGATTCAGATGGCATCGTGCTTCATCAAGGCTTGCATGCAATACGGCAGCTTAACATGCAAGGAAAGTGTGCCTATGGGATCACTACCCGTAACTTCAGAAGCTCTGCATTTTGGCAAAGCAACAGCCGACACAACAACGGTGCAGCTTTTGACATCTGCATTCACAGCGGAGCCTCCTGCAGCAGCTTCTGCCTGTCAATTTGGAGTTGCTGGCATGCACTAACGAGATGCAGCCACCAAGACAACAACCAGCAACCAACAACCAACAACCACCACAGACAAACACACACAGACCACTACCACCACCATCATCAACATCATCATCAACAGCAACAACAAACACAATTTTCAATTGAATGAGCGTGCTCTGCACGTGGCGGGCGTATTGCCGAACCTGCACTCATGTGAGACGCGGATAAGCTGACGCAATACTCAAACATGAATACTTGACACGAGGATAAACATGACATTTGGTTCTAACTGAAGCTCCTCAGGCTGACTCAGTTATAATGATCCACCTCCGTCACCCTCATTGTGAGGGACCCCGTCCGTTGCTCACGAACCAAAGTCTGGTGCGTCGTACTGGATAGAGCCGGGTCCCGCAGTGCCAGTTTAGTAGCGTCCCACACTTGGTCACGACTATGGCGATGGGCCGGAAGGACGCAAGCACTGCAGGGAATCTGGGCACTGGCCGCCCCAACTTTTCGGAAATTAATGGCAGAAGCCCTGATCTGGCCCAAAGCCTGGTTTTCGGCTCGAGAATGGGGGTTTGGGCCAGTAGCCTGCGCCTTAACACTGCACTGACCTGTGGGACCTGCTGTGCCTCTGCACTGCGTGGCCCTGGGACCTTCTACACCTTGGCACAGCTGCTGTGCACTGCACCAACGTGAGACTCCAATATCCCTTAATTAAGGAATATACCTTAAATCATATTAGGGATCCTACTATAATTTAAAGTATATTCCTTAACTAAGGGATATTGGAGTGTCTGGGAACCTGAGACTTGCTGCACCTCTGCACTGCACGGACCTGGGACTGCACAGACCTGGGACCTTCCACCGTACAGGCGAAGATCATGATTAAATGTAGCAGCCATGATAGTAGAATAATGGACTGAGTGGACTTCGTAGTACCACAACAAGAGACATCGTCATTATCATCCTCCTCATCACCAGATCATTACCACAATTGGCCGGGCTTCAGGCAGGATTCCAGATACAAGAGTTGCTTGATCTGACACCCGAAATCCAGGCTCTTCCACATTCCGATGCCTTCACACACAAGCCCTGAACCCGAAGCTTTGACTCCTGAGCCTTCAACGCCGGATTTGAGGAAAATCTCAACCCTGACCGGACTGCGACCTTGGGCCGACAGCTCCCAAGTCCAAAGGTCTCCTTGGTGGCCCAAAATGTGAGAACACCAAGTCGCCCAAACCATCTAAGAAGCCACGGGGAATCCGGAAGCAGTCGTGACGCGAATTATAGACATGCTCGCCAATAGAATCCCTGTCGTGATGATACTGCAACGCTCGTGCCTGCCGCGCAATGTCAATGTGTAATTCCCGTTTCCATGCACAAGACCGACACAGACCCAGTAACAGTGGCTGCGCTGCCCAACCGTTTTATCAGAGATGCTCTATCACATCTGGTGGAGATCCCTGTTGATGCAAGCGGGAGCTCGCGCGTCCAACTTCCCCTTGCTATGCCAGGCCACATCTTCACGGGTGCAGAAAACGTGTCTCTGCACGGCGGCGGCAGCAGATGCCAGCTGGCCCAGGCCTAGAAATAAAGCTCAAGACAAAGACCTCATGCTCATGAAGTTACGGAGAATCCTTGAGCCAGGCCTGTCATGACCCCTTCCCCGGGCCTCGCCTCACTCTCGTGGCTCTCATGCTGCACAGGTCATCGCAATACTGCTGGACGTCATACTGCACTGTGTCGGTTCACGAGCTCGTGCGACGCACTCGGAATCGTTGGGACTTCCGTCAAGTTCTTGCTCAAGTTTGCTGTCGATGTAAGCAGGCTCCAGTCTGTTCTCAAAGCCGGCATCAATCGTAGGCATGTTGCAGCAAACGGATGTTTTCCGAGCTCATCCTCCATGTTCCAATCCTCATCCTGCTGTAGCAGCGTGGTCCTTGTCGACAATCGGTCCATCGATCTTGCCAAAGTTCACCGAACTACAATGCTACCTGTTCTCGTCGAGTAGGTCAATTCCATGATGCTAATGCCCAGCACAGCATGGCAATCGACTGCTGCTAACCCACCGCCGCCACCTCACCTGGCAAGGCGTGCACGAGTCTTACAAACAAGGTGCGCTTGTTAGTTCGACTGCTTGCACAGGCAGAACCAGCTAAGCTACCGTGCAATGCAAGCATTCTCCAGAGCTCCACCCCTGCACACGAGTCAGCTTCCATTCTGTGGCCACTGCTTTAATGATGCAACTGCTTTGATTCTTCCGCTACTGCCTTGACCGTTACCGCTGCCGCTACCACTACTGCTAGCAGTAGCAGCTTTGCAGAACAGAAGTAGTTGCAACGGCGAAGGAGCCGTCCAACCAAGCCTGACCCACTGGTAACAGAGACCAGTCCCCAAGGAAGGCCGAAAGTCGCACCTCCTTCTGCCTGCAGCCATTTCGAAGCCATCCTCGCGCTGGCCTTAGTAACTCGTCCCGTCGATGTTCCCCGACGACATCTGGTTTTGCTGTTGCAACGTCACAGCCAAACCTGCTAGAGGGGCCAATCAGGAAAGGATTGAATGCGATGCGAAGAAGCCCCCTGGACAAGGCGGATGGCACACGAACGGTCCTGCTAAGCCGCAAAGCTCCTGGGACACCCTGTGCTGCACCCGGTGTGCGTGTTGGGAGGCCAACACGTGTATCAATGCATCCGTTTTGCTGAACTGCCTTCGGCTGTGCGGCTGTACGGTGTTTGATTCGCGTCTTGTGCTTCGAGTGTCAATTAAAGGGGAGATCAGGCAGAGAAGCGCAACTCCATGGTGACTGGCCGAGTGCAAAGAGTCAGGAAGCATCAACAATCGTCCAAGTGGCAGCGAGGAATCGGAAAAGTGGATCCACATGACCGACGAACGACTGCCACTCCGTAAAGACATCCTCGGCCGAAAGCAGGACACTCTAGATTCTACCCTCGAATCGCGGCATCCATCAGCACAACAATTTGTCATGCTCGCTTCCCCAGGTCGGTTCTGAGATCAATACAATCAACACAACAGGTCGTGATGTGCGCCGGTGAGGCATGTGGCACAAAGCACAATGCCTGTGTATGCCGCATGTCATGCCATAACAGCAGCGCACACTCAACACAAAATGCTGAAAGAGGAGCTTCCACCACGGCATGTGCATGAACCGGCAATGAATGGCCGCTACCTGCATGGCATACCGAAGCTACATATCCACGCATGCGCACTTTGCTTTGGAACTTCAGAGTAAGCTGTGAGGTTGTCAGCAAAATCTACCTCCGGCCACCCAAAGCATGTGCGGGCACTTCTGCACAATCTTGCTATGCAACCTGCTAGGACATCTTCCCGACTACGTGATGCAAGCAAAATGCGATGACTCCTTCAGGCCTTCGCAGTTGACAGAAAATGCACAAGGGTGTCGGACAGTCTTGTAGTTGTAGGCGCTTAACAAAAGCTTCGGGGTACTGCGCTTTACAGAGTGTGTGCATTGCAGAAGGGCCTGTTTCGGAAGCTTGCGGGTTTGGCCTGTAAAGGCTTCGAAGAGCTCCAGGCGGGGGTGGAGGAAAGCCGACAGCTCGGCGAACTCAGCACCTGATCACCGGCACGAACGAACGGAGCTCAAGACTTTGCAAGGGCCTCAGGTATATATGTAGAAGGATTTTGGATCCAAGGCTTCTAGGAATTTAAAGGCTTAACGACATGCTTCGCTGCGGTAAGTGCGCTGAAGGTGTGGCGATGACACTGAGAGGACTTGACCACGACAAAATCCCGTCCATCACCGGCAAAAAAACAAGTACCTCAACTTCTGATATCTTGCTGTTCACGGACGTCTACCATCGTCTACCATGCACACGAAGAGCAAGATGGGAATCACTTTTTCGGCATCGCTGGGGCCCGGCCCTCACAGTGCTCTGAAGACCCTCGCAACGAGAGCAAAGAAAAGCTCAGGAGCAAAGACGTCAGAGCAGCAGAACCCTAGTCAGAACATTCAAACGGCCCTAAATGCTAAACCCTGACAACCTATTTTTTCCGGGCACTACGGGCTTAGGGGTCCCAACTTCAAGACACCAAGCGCGTTGGTTTACCGGGTGCCGCCTGCCCGGGAGCAGGACCCAATGTAGCGGGCGTACCCATTTACAGAATCCTAAGCCAATTTCCTAGAACCACCGCTTTAAGCTAAGGGCACAGAACCCCAGTATAATATCTGTTTACTGTGGAGAATCCTCCCCCCTGACCAGATCCTTTATGAAACCCACTGCTCGCCTATGCACCCCTTTCCGAGGACCCGACCCACGGCACCGGGGCTCGGAAGGTCCCCGGGGCTGAACTGACGGCCTCGGTTTCTCAGTGAAAACCCCGGAGAATTTGGCGCATGTGATACAAATATACACACGCATATACAGATACAGGTGCCGGAACGTATACATAGACGTAGATATCGGTATCGACATATGCACCCACATATGTATGTATATATATATATATATACGTATGCATGAGCATGCATATGTGAAGACACACGCACACCCGTGTCAGCATGCTGAATGCACATAATGCAATGTGATACAATACTGTGCAGAATGACAGAAGCAGTGTTGCATGATATTGCTTAATAACACGAACTACAAAGCAATGTATGATAACACAGTAAAAACAAATAGACCAAACCCTCCCTAAGCTCTTGTCGGCTCGAAGCATTATAACTGTTCACCTTGAACTCTAAACCCCAGGCTCAAAGCCTACCCCTCAACCCCAAAACCACACCACAGAAAAAAGAGGGACACCACGCCCCGCCTACAGGGGGGGGCATCCTGGACCATGGACCATGGAGGGAGGGGGGGTAGGCGGAGCGCCTGACCATATATGTTATATCAGCAAAAGCCAGGCGGCCGTAGACGAAGCTGAGGATCAAGCCTACATCGGGGTTCTTCGGGCCCAAAGCCAGCGGTTTAGGGTTCGCCGGCCCTTTTTGAGTTTCCCAATTCGGGGTTTTACTCGGCAGCCTCCTAGAGGGAGCAGGTTGATACGGGAGTTGCAGCCTCGGTATGCCTCGGTACCCTCACGCGCAAGGCTCAGTATACAGGCAGGCTTCGCCCTGGCCTAGGGCTGATGGCGTGACATGTGGGATTCAGATTGAGGACTTCCGTGATTTCCAGGAACAATGCAGGTGGTCAGTAACCCTGTTGGGCCAGGAGGCGTGGACTGCGGCGGAATTCGCCTTTCTCCTGGCGACCAGCGAGCTTCACGCAAATCTAAATGCTCCAGGACTCTAGGTCCAACCAAGAGGGTGCGCGTCTCTGCACTGGGAATGTGAGACGCTTCTAGACATGGTCCAGTCTATTCTGGCTTGGCCGCCGAACCCACGACAGCTGCTCCAACCACTACGGTCATACAACTGCCGTGCCCTTCCGGGGTACAGACCAACGCAGCCTTTCGTTGTCGTAGGGACCATTACCACGCTTGGACAATCCCACTGCTCCAAACCTCTTTAATCCAGAAAGAAGCACTCGAAGGAAGCAGATCGGCCCATGGCCCTTTGGTACCGCCGTGCACAAGATCGGCGGCCTGGGCATAGGCCATTGGCACCTCTTCCAGGTACTCTACGACCAGGCCACCTGGACCCTCCTGATGCTGAAGGTTGTTGTTCTAGCTTCGGCGCTGTGTGTTGCTTCTGAGTGCAACGTGCTTGCTTTGGGATTCAGTGTGATTCAGGTTGCCATATCTCACCATGCTCTCTGCATTGCTGCTTGCAGCATTTCGGCTGTTACGTCGACACTGCTCTGACCACGAGTGCATCAGCATTACGGTGTGCACTGATGACCCAAAGTCATGTCCTGGATCCTGGACATCCTCAGGCCCTCCACCAGGCCTTGAAAAGCAGGACATCCACCAGCTCACCAAACATCTGGTAGGGGCCTGGAGTTTCGAAACGGCTGAGGCACTTCCACACAGGAACTTGGGTTTCACGTCTCTTCGACTGGGTCTTGGTCTCTCAAAGGCAAGAGGAATCCGCTCTTGGAAGGACCTGGAAATCCTCGGACTGAGCCCAGGCTCAGCCCTCCACTTCAAAGAAGATCCAGGACTCCCGCTCCACATGTCGATTTAGGTCTGCAGCCCAGTCCGAAACAAAGTCCTTTTGCACTTCTCACTGGTAGCCTGACCAACCCCCCCCCCGCATCTTCGCACCTGCGGCTTCATTAATCCGGCGAAGCACCTGCACTGATGTCCGCTTCGCCGCATATTCGGCAATTGCGCGATGAAGGCAGGGATTAGAAGTTCGGATTCAGTAGGAATGATGATACTGGTGACTGTATCGGGGCCTGCTTTGAATTCGAGTGTTCCAAAGCCCTCGAGGCTGTAACAGTCTAGAAGGTTTCCGGTCTATCTGATACAATGGGCTCCTTTGGAAATTCTTCGCAGGAAAGTGAAAACATGCGTAACGCACCGCCTTCGTCGTTGAGTTCCCAGCTTCGTCAGTACTGAATCACCACAGCACAGGCCACAGGACTCCAGACTCTTCAAAGGTCAAGTGCACGACCCGGCCTGCCGCATCCAAAGCTCCTCGGCTGCACGGCGCTCGATTTCATTTCGTCAGACACCTGGCTAAATGGTTTCGGACTGCGGGTCCTGATCCACGGCAAAGGACACGTTGGGCCAACCTGCTTGCTCGTACCGCAGGATCCGGTAGAGAGCACGTGCTGTGTACCTGCCGCGTTCACGGATTCACCCGGGTACAAGCCCAGCAAACCCCAGCTTCGTTCGTAAGCCGTCCGGGTTTGCGTCTTTCGATGTTCTTCCCTGAACCTGGCCGGCACCTGAAGCCATGAATGAAGCCCCCAGCCGAGCGCCGGTAGTCCCTGCCGTGGCTCAAGGCGCCTCGTCGCAGAAGCCGGGTCCAGAGCAAAGCATTTAGCAGGCTGTAAACGAGATTGAGCTAGTGAGTAGCGAACTCCATCTCGCTTCCAGACCTTCGTCTCCCAATGGATTGCTACTTCGCAGCGCTCCCGAAACTAACATCTTGCACCATACCTTGAGTCACAACTTCGTTCGACGCGATACCGAACACAAACTAGCCTAGAGTCTAGCTCCGCAAGTCGAGCATGACACGGTGAGCCAACCTGCCGTGCCCTCATCAGGAACCAGCCAAAAAATCAGAAAGACCTCTCCTCTTTACCTGTCTTTACCTTGTCTTACCTGACAGGTTATGTCCCCAAGCTCTCTGACTTGTTCACGCTCAAAAACTGCCTGCGAAGAAGAGTCCCGGAATCGTGGCAGACTGGTACGAGGCATCCATCATGGGATACTTGCCTGCACAGCTTGCGGAGGGGCTCTGGGGCTTAAGTCGATGATGCGCACAGAACAGCTAAATCATCCCGAACTCAGACGCGCACCCCCCAAGGTCTGATTCGAAATCCAAATGGGTGGTTGTCAAAATTATGGTCCCTTTTTGGGTCCTTATTATAATACGGCACCTATTATTTAGGGTACCCCAAAAGGGACCATAATTTTGACAACTACCCAAATAGTCTCCGACCTGTCTCTCGCAGATTTGCCACACTCGGCACAGCCCCGCGCCAGCCGAGGCAGCCTGATCGCTGAGTGATTTTGTTCATGGATCGTTCTCTACATTAGGGTTTAGGGTTTAGGGTTTAGGGTTTTTGTTCATGGATCGTTCTCTACATTAGGGTTTAGGGTTTAGGGTTTAGGGTTTCTGTTCATGGATCGTTCTCTACATTAGGGTCCCTTTCGAGGTCCCCAAAAATAGTATGGCACCCTTAGGCATCACAAGGAAAGTACCCTAAAAGAGCCCAAAGCCTTTCTTCCTCGGAGCCTGGGCCCGGCCTTAGCGTCTGAAAGGCTCTTGGATTCAAGCGCAGGCTCCCCTTCAGAGGGTTTGGGGTTTGTAGCGAGGACTTGTGTTTCCCCAGCTGCCTCCCAGAAAAGGCCTGAAAGAGTGCAGTTTACGATGGACCACATGACCACGACCCCCCAAAGCCGTAAGATCCCTTCCACCTTACGACTCCCAGCGATGGCAAGCGGCGGATTCCGACATCGAAGGGATGGCGCAATGGATCTTGGCTCAGCTGAGGCCGCAACCTTCTTAAGCCGGGTTTGGCAACTTCGGGTTTGGGTTCTACCAGTACGCCAGCTGCTTCAGGATCGGTTTCAGCCAAGTCATCGCGTGAAGAAAGGTTCGCAAAGAGTGTGCACCACTAGAAAGACAAGATGAAAGGTCGCTAGATGCCCGTGGACGAAGGTTCGTCGAAACCGCCGAGATAGTAAGCGGAGTATGTGGGTCCAGGACATCATGGATAAACCACCGGAATGGGGGAGGGGGGCCAGGGGCAGGGGCAGGGGCACAGGGGCAGGAGCAGGGTTTCGGTTTTGTTTATTGGATTTTGTTTTTAGAAAATCAAGCTGGAGGGTTGGTGTGCAATGGTGGGCAAGGCTGGGAAATGGGCAGCGGCGCGTCATGGCGAGTCATGGTGGGGAATGATGGGTACTCTTGTTTAGGCTGCAGGATTTTAGGATTAAGGGATCTAGGGATGTGGGCTTCGGGTTTTTCTTTTATCACCTCTTTCCCTTCGCCTTATCAGGGCTTCGGGTTTTAGGGTTCAGGGTTTTGGGGCTTGGGGCTTCAGGGTTTAGGGCTTTAGGGCTTCAGAGTTTAGGGCTGAAGCGGCGGGCAATGGTGGGTAATGGAGGGGATGGCGGGCATGCTCGGGGATGGTGGGTATTCTTGTTTTGGCTTGAGTAAGGGATTTTGGCCGTGTTCCTGGTGGTCTCCTGGGGTCTCCTGTGGGTCTTCTGGGCATCTCCTGAGGTTTAATGGCGGTTGGCTGGTGAGCTGGGTCACCGTCTCATTGTGGTCTCCTCGGTCTCTTGGTTGCTTTTGTCGTCCTGGTCGTAGTGGTCGTCGCAGCGTTCGGGGATCTACGCTGGCATCGCCTATTTTTCATAGTACTATATTGGATTTTCGCTGATTGATGATGACTTCCCGCCTCGCCACAAGATCCAGCAAAGGTCGCTGTGTCGTGAGGAACTCGGAGCTCAGCTCCTTGGGGTTGGTTCACGAAAAAACATAATCGAAGTCTTCGCCAGCAAGCTATAGTTTCGATTTTGGGTCTCAGGATCCAGACGCCGGCCGCGTCGGACGAAAGCCGCATTCCAGGCGACGCCTTCACCTCGATTGGAAGGCGAACACGTCGACGACGGGCGGACATGAAGAGCTATATAACTACAAATATTTGGGCTACACAGCCTTCGGTTGCGGACAATGGAGCTTGCTGTCTGACAAAATTGCTAACTGAGGCATTCTGTGCCAGTATTGGTGCTGTTCTGAGGAATGCTGACGGCCGCACTGTGGCACTACCAAGTGCTCCTTCTTTGGCCACAGTGGTGGTTGCTGAACCCATCCTACAGTGACGATGCGGAAAGCAGCGTCTGACAGGTGGCTCAACATGAACGGCACCGGGCTCCAGGATGGAATGATGGTAGCGAGACTTGTATGACGTACACCGCCCCTGGGGTGTTCTCAGCATTGCGACTGCCAAGCATACTTAAGTTGGATGACCAGACGGCAATGCAGCCGGCAACTGTCTGTTTCGAAAAATAGACCAAACTTTCTGGGCCCACGATCAAGATGATGGTGGTGATGATGCTGGTGATGCCGGCAGATGGCGATGATGGTAATGGTGGCGAAGAAACTGATGAAACTGATTATGCAATCATGAAACTGAAGATGGCGATGAAGATGAAGATGATGACGATGATGACGATGATGATGATGGTGATGATGGTGACGATTGTGATGATGATGATGATGATGATGATGATTATGATGATGATGATGATGATGATGATGATGATGACGATGGTGATGGTGATGGTGATAGTGATGGTTATGGTGATAGCGATGGCGATGGCTATGGTGATGACGGTGGTGGTGGTGGTGGTGGTGGTGGGGGTGGTGGTGGTGGTGGTGGTGGTGGTGATGATGATGCTGAGGACGGGGATGAGGACGAGGATGGTGCCGACGGTGCTGAGCGTGCTGATGGTGCTGATGGCGCTGATGGTGCTGTGGTGACGATGCATCACAAATCATGAACATATGGAGGCTTCAACGTGGAGATGTGCTGAAACAGAACTGAAGACGAAAATGCATAACAATGAAGATCATGAGTGTCATGATGCTCGTGATAACGAATGTGATAAACATTACAACCACTTCGACCGCCATCCTTGCTAATCTTGGTGCAGTACGCGTATTAGAGTAGTTGTAGTTGCAGTAGTAGTAGTAGTAGTAGTAGTAGTAGTAGTAGTAGTAGTAGTGGTAGTGGTAGTGGTAGTGGTAGTGGTAGTGGTAGTGGTAGTGGTAGTGGTAGTAGTAGCAGTAGTAGTAGTAGTAGTA